CCCCAGCAAAAAGCATTTTCTTTCTACTTCCTTGATTGTGGGAAAGCAGACACTTCTCTGAAGCTGGACCTCATTCTTCCAAATGGTATTGCTAGTAAAATCACATGCTAGACTTCACTGACCAAGAATTGTATTAATTATTTTTACTTTTTTTGTTTTTTTACATTTTCTCATTCTGTCAACCATGTAGGAGTGAAGTGGCACAATCATCACTCACTGTAATCTCACCTGACAAAGGTCGAATATCCAGAATCTAATATCTACAGAATCTTGTTCAATATCCAGAATCCAACAAGCAAGAACAAAAAATCCAATTAACAAATGAGTAAAGAGATGAACACTTTTTATTTTATTTTATTTTATTTATTTATTTTTAAGAGACGGGGTCTCACTATATTGCCCAGGCTGGAGTGCAGTGGCTATTCATAGGCATGATCCCACTCCTGATCAGCATGAGAGTTTTGACCTGCTCCATTTCCGACCTGGGCCGGTTCACCCCTCCTTAGACAATCTGGTGGTCCCCCGCTCCCAGGAGGTCACCACATTGATGCTGAACTTAGTGTGGACACCCGGTCAGCATAGCGCACTACAGCCCAGAACTCCTGGGATCAAGCAATCCTCCCACCTCAGCCTCCCGAGTAGCTGGGACTACAGGCACGCAGCACTGCGCCCGGCGAGATGAACACTTTTCAAAATAAGACATACAAGTGGCCAAGAAACATGAAAAAATGCTCAATATCACTAATCATCAGATAGGTGCCAATCAAAACCGCAGTGAGTTACCACCTCTTACCTGTCACAAAGTCAGAGATGGTGGTGAGGCTGCAGAGAATTGAAACAGACACTATTGGTGGGAAAGCGATCCTGTTCAGCTGCTGTGGAAAGCAGCTTGGAGATTTCTGCAAGAACTTAAAATAGAACTACCATTCGACCCAGCAATCCCACTTTTGGGGATATACCCAAAGGGAAAGAATTCATTTTATCAAAAAGACACCTGCAACCGTATGTTCAATGCAGTGCTATTCTCACTAGCAAGGACACAGAGTCAATCTCAGTGCCCCGCAACAGTGAACTGAATGAAAACAATGTGGTGCACAGACACTGTGAAAATCTATGCGGCCATTAAACAGCAAAATCATGTCCTCTTCAGCAACATGGATGGAACGAGAGGCTGTTATCCTAAGCAGCCTAATGCAAGGACAGAAAGCCACATACTGCATGTTCCCATTTGAAAGTGGCAGCTAAACATTGAATTCACATGAACCAGGCGCTGGAGATCACTAGGTAGGGGAGAGAGGAGGGGTACCTGGGCTGAAAACCACCTGTTGGGGGCCCTGCTTACTGTTTGGGTGATGGGATCATTGGGACACCAAGCCTCAGCCTCCCAAAGTCTACCGCGTAACAGCCCTGTATGTATACCCTTTAATCTATAATATAGGCTGAAATTAAAGATAAATAAATACAATAAAATGATATAAGGCCAAAAAAATGGGGCTAACTGACCAAGGTAAGGAACTCTGCACTATGAACCCCAACCCAGCTCAAAAAAATAAACTGTACTCATTTAAAATAATTGTAAATTGTATGATGATAATTGTATAAAAATTATACATGAAAGTGCAAAACCCTAAAATTAAACACCGTATAATGGAATTTCAGGTGATTGCCATCTTATTCTTTATACCTTTATTTTTTGTTCCATTTTCAAGTGACATGTTTTATTTATCCTCCAGAAGTCACCTCTAGCACCCAACCCCTCCTTTCCCACTGTCCACCTCAGCCTTTCCTCGGGCCTGGGACTGTGGCTTCCTTGGCACTGAAGGCATAAGAGCTGCATTCAGCCTTGGGAGAGAGGGGGATGCAAGGCAGGTGGTGGGGGTGGTCTCGGCATTGCAGAGGAAACTCACAGCTCAGGTCCTCTGTCCCAGAAGACTGCGTTTCTCCACCAGATTAGCTACAACCAAGCCAACCTTGCCCCGTCTTCATTTTTTTTTTTTTTCCAAATTCTTTCCAACTGGCACTTGAACATTTATATTATTCCTCCTAAGATTTCTTTCTATGTCTTGTCTACACAATATATCCTGATTTATTGTGCCAGAAAACACCAGACTCACCATCTCCGTGACAGTTGCAAAGCCACAGTCTCGACTCGCTGGAGGGGCACGCTGGGCTTGGAGACCCATCAAAAGCCACAGCTCTAGAGAACTATTTGGCTTGTCTGGAACCCACTGAAAAAGCCCCATTCATTGGGTTTGTCATTGTTTGACCTCCTGAGGTCTCTCTCTAGGTGAAAAGCCAGATCCTCAGAGCACTGAATAAAAGCAATCATTGCAACTGTACAACCCCACTAGTGGGAGAAATTGAGAGAAAGATTTGGGGAATGAGATGTGTGTAGGGGCTGGCACGTGCTCAGGCAGCACCTGAGAAGGCCACATCTCTGACCTTTGGCTGACCTGAAGGTTCTATGAAGGCAGGAACTGGAGCTGCAGTGGTGACATCAGCTGCCCGCCTGAGTGCGGCAGGGGCAGGAGTGCGACACACACACAAAGCCCTCTAGGGAGGACTGGGGAGAGACTCACTGGCTCAAGGCATCGATGCAAACCTCTGCCCAACGTCACCCAACTGAGCAGAGCCTTCAGGGGCCACCCAAGACAGGGAACACAGATGTTATGAGATCCATCCAGAAAAGTCACTAAACAAGCAGCAGTGACACACCTTGAAGAGAGAGGACATCTGATTCCAGAGCTACCACATGGGATTCTTGTAAAATTCAGTTTCATCTCAAAAATATAAGACATGCAAAGAAGCAGGGAAGGATCCCCAGACACAAACAAGGAACCAGCCCCTGGAACTGTCCCCGAGGAAGCCCATCTGTTGGCCTTAGTGAGTTACTCAGTGTCACTCCGAGGCAATGTTAATCAAGGGGAGATTGTGGGGAGGATGCTGTCCAGCTTCCTCATTTCCATGGAGACAGGACTCAGAAGAGGTGGTGCTAGAGACTGAATGTCTTTGTCCCCCCAAACTTAATCCTCAATGTGTACTAGGAGGGGAAGCTTTAATAGGTCATTAGATTATGAGAGAAGAGCCCTCAAGAATGGGGTTGGAGGGCTAGGTGCAGTGGCTCACACCTGCAATCCCAACACTTTGGGAGGCTGAGGTGGGCATATCACTTGAGGTCAGGAATTTGAGACCAGCCTGCCAACGTAGTGAAATCCTGTTTCTGCTAAAAATACACAAATTAGCCATGCATGGTGGCAGGTACCTGCAATCACAGCTACTTGGGAGGCCAAGGCAAGAGAATCACTTGAACCTGGGAGGCAGAGTTTGCAGTGAGCCAAAATTGTACCATTGCACTCTAGCCAGGGCAACAAGAGTGAAACTTTGGGAAGGAAGGGAGGAAGGAAGGAAGGAAGGAGGGAGGGAGGGAAGGAAGGAAGGAAGGGGAAAAGGAAAGCATGGAAGGGAAAGAAAGAAAAAGAAAAAAAACATGGAAGTAAATCTTTGTGACACTGGGTTTGGCTAAGGCTACTTAAGTACTGTATGCCAAAGTACTATTGCCAAAAGAAAAACAGTTTAATTTGACTAATTCCAAAGGTAATAAATATTCTGTGCTTCAAAAAGAATGCCATTTAGAAAGTGAAAAGACAACTTACATCATGGAGAGAATATTTGCAAATCATATATCTGGTAAGGGGCTGGCATCCTGACTACATAAAGCACTCTTACAAGTCAATATTGTGAAGAGAAATAATGCAAAATAAATGTGTGGAAAGGTTTTGAACGGACATTTCTCCAGAAAAGTATGCATTGTCACTAAGCCCATGAAGAGAGGCTCAACATCAATAGCCGTCAGGGAAACGCTAATCACACCAAGGAGATGCCATCTCACACCCAGTAGGATGGCTGTCATCGTAATCACAGTGAGGACATGGAGAGACTGGATCTTCACCCTGTCCAGGGGCAGAGCCAGACAGATGGAGTCGGGGTGGACTGTGGGTGAGAGTGTGGCATGCGAGACTGTCATGGTGAATATTAGGTGTCCAGTGGGTTGCATTGAGAGATGCCTAGATGGCTGGTAATGTACTGTTTCTGAGTGTGTCTGTGAGGGTGTTGCCAGGGGAGACTGACATTTGAGTCGGGGGACTGGGAGAGGAAGACTCCATCAGTGTGGGTGGGCATCATACCATGGGCTGCCAGCCAGGCTAGAAGAGGGCAGGCGGGAGAGGGTGGGGCTCTCTGGCTTCTCTCTGCCTCCCCTGCAGGTGCTTGCCTCCTCCCTCCTTGGACATCAGACTCCAGGTTCTTTGGCCTTCAGGCTCTGGGACTTGTACCAGCAGTTTCCAACTTCCGGGGACTCTGAGACCTTTGGCAGGGGGCTGAAAGCTGCCCTGTGGGTGTCCCAGGTTTTGGGGCTTTCTGACTTGGCCTGACCTCTACTGGCTTCTCTCCTCCCCGGCTTGCAGACGGTCTACCATTGGACTTCACCTTGAAATCGTGTGCGCCAATCCTCCCTTTCATATATATGTATATATGTATATATATATATATATATATATATATATATATATATACATGTATATATATATATGCCTGTATCCTATTGCTGCAGTCTCTCTGGTGAACTCTGACTAACCCGGGGTGGGGGTGTCTCTGTGTCACCCTCTCCCATTTTCGGGACTGGAGTTTCTCCTTGTTCTCCTGCCGCGTTTCTCCTTCCCTTTCTCCCATCCTGTCTCTGAACCTAATTTTCCACACGTCCAGGGGTTTTCTCCGCCTCAGGACGTCCATCCTGGAAGGGGTCCCAGCCCAGCGGAGGAACCAAGAGCCCTGGACCGCAGGCGACAGGATCGTGGAGGGGACGGCGAGAAGCCCCTGGCCCGACCCATGGACCCTCAGGACCAAGTGGGTCACGGGCGCCGCCCACCAGCAGCCATGTCAAGTCCCCCCGCCCCCCGCACCAGGCTGTAAGAGGAAACAGCAGCCTCTGACCCCCCATCACCTCAAGCCAGGAGGAAAAACCGTCCCCTGCCGCGATGGGCGAGGCCTCCCACGTCGTCCAAAGGCGGTTCCGTCCGCAGCGACCTGACTGAGGCCCGGTCCCTCCCGTTGGAACTTCCGCGGCAGCCGGGCGCCCCCTGCGGGGCCTCGGGCAGGCGCGACCCGGACCGATTTGGGCGCAGCCGGCGCTGCGGGAAGGAGCGCGCACAACCCGGAGGGGCGGAAATGAAAACCCGTCTACAGACGAAGTTTCCACGAAAGACTTTTGCAGTTGGAATCCGCGAACGCCTTTCATATCCTCCCTGAGGCGCGCAAGAGGCAAACGGGACTTCAGAGCGACTCCGACCCGATTTCACCACTCACAGACACTCAAAAAGGAACTACACAGAGAAAGTACAAAACCCAGTCCCTGCTTTGTGAAACACGCGTTTAAGAAAATAAAGAAGCAGCGCTCAAATGGTAGAAAATATTTGCAACAATGAAGTGAAATGATCTTCTGGGACAGATGGGAAGCAGGAGAGAGGCGGGAGGGGTGGAACGCCAGGGCGTTTCTCCCATCACTCCCAGCTTCAGTCCTGCAGGCCCTCCACTCCACCCCCTGGTCAGGTGCAGGACCTAGGCTGACTCTGTGATGTGACAAAGGGGGACGGAGGTTCGTCCAAGCTGCAGGTGCCAGGGTTGAGGCTCAAGGGAAAAACATGTCGGGAGTAATTAAAAAAGAGTTGTCTGGAAAAGTGATCCGGGTTCTCCTCCACCTCTTAAACCATCATTTATGTCTTTTCTGAAGGTTGAAGATGATACCAAAAAGCCCCTGTGAGCACGGGGCTCAAACCCACCCTCTGGCTGGCCACCTGCCAGCTGTGTAGGGTGTATCTCTAGACCACAAGGAGCTCCAGACTTTGCAAGTTTGGTGAAGGTTTCTATTTTAGTCTGTATCAACCTAGACACTTTGAACTAGCAAAAATTAAACCAAAATGCTGATGGAAAATATTGAGTCTCAAATATATTAATGACTTCTGAGTGACACATACAAATAGTAACCTCATCAATCTAGATTTCTCCACATATGTTCCAAAATATACAGATCAACAAATGGTACAAATAAAATACCATCACCTGTACCTTCAGCAAAATGAGATAGGAAATGCCTAATCCCTCAGATCTCTGTAACCCATTGGTGAACTTTGAGTCGAGCGTGAGCATGAGGTGGTGTCTTGTATGGATGTGAAACTGTTTTTGGTGATTATACTGTGGTTATTAGGAGAAGGTCCTGGTTTGGAGGGAGAACACTGAAGGATGGGGCATCAGATGACATCATTAAAGGTGGAGGGCGCACCAGGGTGACAGCTCACTCTGAAGTGGCAGAAAGAGAAGTTCTCTGGACTGCGCTGCAATGACTATAGTTATTTCTTTTTTCATGTTTTCATACTATTTAAAAAGCACATCAAGAAATTCAAGAAAACTTACTTTTTAGAAATTGATGTGGAGAGGTAATTCCATAAATACAGCACAGCTCCTCCTCCTCCTGCAAAGGCAGGGCCTCTAGGTGTTTCCCTCTCCCCCTCTGTTCTCAGCCTCAGACAGCTTCTTCTTCCCCCTCCTCTCCTGCAGGCAACCCCCAGGCACCTCTAGAGACAGAAGCAGCTCAGGCCCAGAGTCCCTTCATCACTTTCTAAATACATGGCCTAATCCAGATGAGACTCAGATCTGTGAAGGGTTGGATTTCCATGAGCACAGAAGCTGAGAGAGGGTTCTGCTTTCATCTGGGGCTCATTTTAGAGCATAGCCATAGATGGTCACCCAGGCCTGAGTCTGCAGCTGCACCCACTCACCATGCACCTCATCCCTGTGGTCACTCCATCTACCCACAACTGAGGAATCCCCAGCACATCCTCATCTCAGCAAACACGGAGGCATCTGGAACTCTGGGCAGAAGTAGGAGGGAGGTGGGAAGCACAATGGCCCCTGGCAGCTGGGGGTGGCTTAGCCTGGGGTGAGGACTGGTCAGAGCCCCTAAGTCCCACTCTGCCCCCCGCCACTCAGCCTGTTCCTCATTAAATGAGAAAGAGAGACGCTGACCTCCCACTCCACACAGTCTTCATGGGGGGAGGACCTGCATCTGGTGACCATCAGTCCCCAGGGTCTTGAAGCTGTGGAAAAGAGGAGGAGGCCTGGACCAAGCCCAGGGCCTATCTCTGTTTCAGGTCAGGGGCATGGGATGGCAGCCACCTCTGTGACTGAGCAGCTACATAGGAGTCTAGAAGGTTCCTGCCTGATGTACTAGAGCCTCTGTCCAGGAGGGGCCATGTGGGGGGTGGTCTGGAGGACAACAGGCACACGGAGGTGGGCAGTTCTCAGATCTGGGAGGGGCAGAGCTTGGCGGGTCCAGGATCTGTGTGTGAGAAGAGACTCCCATGCACAAGGCTGGGGACAGAAGCCGGGTTAGTCCTGGGAGGAGGCCACTGGAAAGGCCCTGGCAGCCGCACCCTGAGGCTGGGTGACCTGGGCCAGTGACTAGGGGAGCAGGAGGAAGGCAGAAGGCTGGCAGGAGAGCCTGGAGGAGGACAGCCAGGTGACAGGAGGAGGGTCCTCTGCACACCTGGGCCCTCTGCCTCACCCCTGCTGCAGGCTTCTGATCACCAGACTCAAGCCAGCCCAGGATAAGAATAGGAGTGGCCACAGGTGACCGTAATGGCTGTGATCTAGAGACCATGCATTCAGACATGGAAGTCAGCTGACATTATGGCTGGACATTCTTGTGCTGAATATTCTTCAGCTTTCTAAGCATGGATGTCCACGTGTGGAAATTAACAAATGCTATGAACACATAGGAAATGAGCAGATCATGCCAGGAACCCCGTCCTTGCACATGGTAAGAACTCAGGGAAGGTTTCCTTTTTCAGTTATGAGCCCTGCCTTCCCTGCAGTCAGCAAAGGCCAGGCCCACTCTGATGAGAGTTAGAGCTCTGAGTCCAGGCTGTGGCCTCTACACAAACCTGGGGCTCTTTGAAGGGGTGAAAATAAAGGAGAGAAATTAGGGAGGGAGATCCAGCAAAGATGTGACAACAGACACCCCAACAACCACACAGTCTGCTCTCACACACTCTCTACCACACAAACGCTGCAGCACCCACAGGGTTCCCTGCCCTTGATCTTCCCCTGCACTTTGCTACAGACACTCACCTGCACACAGGGGCTCACCAGACACTTTGCACCCCTCCCCTCATGATTCACTCCCACCACCCAAGTCACATCCTTTAGTTCCCCATCTCAGCCTGGCACTTGTACCCACCCAGACCTCACTCAACTCCCCATCCATGAAGGGTCCTCACCACCTCCTTCAGCAACCAGGGGGGCCCAGGACCCACTTACGAGGAATCTAGAGTCTTTTCTTAGAGCCACAGAGGATGATTCTTCTCTGTATCACCAAGTGAGCCTGACATGATTTAAGTGGTGGATGGAGGCTGAGGGAATGACTGAATGAATGAGACAGTTTTGGGAGTGAATGGGCTCAGAAGAAAAACCCCAGGTGCAGAAGGGGAGCTGCAGGGGAGGCTGGAACCCCCAGAGGCCTGAAAGTGGCAGTACCGTGGCTGAAGACCTCCCACACGGGCAGAAGTTGGGAAATATGTGTGCTCACCTGAGTGCCCACAGAGTTTTTCCAAAGAGGAGAAACTTTGGCTTACAACAGGCATATAATTTTTTAATGAAACTGTTGATCACAGGACAGAAAACTGCTCTCTTCAGTCCATTTGATTGAGACCAGAGTATACTGGGGACAAAAAAAAATCCTAGCCAGAGCAATTGGGCAAGTGAAGGAAAGAAAGGGTATTCAAACAGGAAAAGAAAAAGTAAAACATCTCTCTTGACCAATGATATGATTCCATACATAGTAAGCCCTGAAGACCCTGTCAAAAGGCTCCTAGAACAGACACATGATTTCAGTAAAATTTCAGAATACAAAATAAATGTACACAATCAGGAGCATTCTTATTCACCAATAGCATTCTAGCTGAAAATGAAAGCAAGAACACAATCACATTTACAATAGACACACACACACACACACACACACACACACACACACAGAAATACATAGTAGTTCATCTAACCAAAGAGATGAAAGATCTTTCCAGGAAAACTACAAAACCTGGCTGAATAAAATAAGAGACAATACAAATAAATGGAAAAAATAATTCATGCTCATGTGTTGGAAGAATCAATACAGCTAAAATGGCCATACTTCCAAAAGCAATTTATAGATGCAACGCCATCTCTATCAAAAAACCAATGTCATTTTTCACAGAATTAGAAATCTCTAATCTAAAAATTATTTGGAATTAAAAAGAGCCCAAATAGCCAAAACAATTATAAGCAAAAAGAACAAAACCAGGGGCATCACGTGGCCCAACTTCAAGCTATAAGGCTACAGTGATCAAAACAGAATGGTACTGTACAAAAATAGACATTCAGATCCGTGGAACAGAACAGAGAGCTCAGAAAGACACCTTCACACCTACAGTTATCTAACCTTCAATAAAATCAACAAAAATAAGCAATGGGAAAAGACTCCCTATTGAACAAATAGTGCTAGGATAACTGGCTAGCCATGTGCAGAAGAATGAAACTAAACCCTGCATTTCACCATATATGTACGATTACTTGATGTCAATTAAATATTTAAATGTAAGTCCTAAAACTATAAAAATCCAGGAAGAAAACCTAGAAAATACCATTCTGGACATAGGGCCTGGCAAAGATTTCATGAAGACATCAAAACCAATTGCAACCAAAATCAAAAATCGACAAACGGGACCTCATTAAACTTTTGCTGTGCTGAGCATCTGCATAGCAAAAGAAACTAACGACACAGTAAATAGCATGTACAATGGGAGAAATATCTACAAACTATGCATCTGCCAAACATCTAATATCCAGAATTTACAAGAAACATAACAATTCAACAAGCAAGAACAAAAAACCCAATTGAAAAAATAAGCAAAGAACATGAACAGACACTTTACAATAGAAGACCTGCAAGTGGCCGACAAACGTGAAAAAAATGCTCAATATCAGTTATCTTCAGAGAAATGCAGATCGAAACCACAGTGAGCCATCATCTCATACCTGTCAAAATAGCAATTATTAAAGTCAGAAAAACACAGATGTTGGTGAAGTCGAGGAGAAAAGGGAACGCTTAGACACTTTAGCTGCAAAAGCAAACTAGTTCAGACACAAAGGAAAGCAGTTTGGAGATTTCTCAAACAGCTTAAAATAGAACTACCATTTGACCCAACAATCCCACTGCTGGGGATATACCTAAAGGAAAACAATTTATTCAGTCAAATAGACCCGTATGTCCATTGCGGTGCTATTCTCACTAGCAAGGACACGGAGTCAATCTAAGTGCCCAGCAACAGTGGACCGAATGAAAAAAAGGTGGTACACATGCACCATGGAAATCTATGTAGCCATGAAAGACAACAAAATCATGTCCTTTTCAGCAACATGGTTGGAGCTGGAGGCCATTATCCTAGGTGACCTAACACAAGAACAGGCAACTGCATACCGCAGGTTCCCGTTTATAAGTGGGAGCTAAACATTGAATACACATGAATGTAAAAGCGGGAATCACAGACAGTGGAGATCACTAGACAGGGGTATGGGGAGGGGCATATGGGCTGAAGAACCACCCACTGGGTATCATGTTTACTGTCTGGGATTATTGGGACCCCAAGCCGCAGCCTCCCACAATTGACATATGTAACAAACCCACATGTATACTCTTTAATCTATAATAAAAGTTGAAATTAAAAATGAATAAATATGCTGGCGAGGATGTGGAGAAATAGGAACGGTTTTACACTGTTGGTGGAAGTGTATAGTTCAACTGCTGTGGAAGACAGTGTGGCAATTCCTCAAGTATCTAGAACCAGTAATTCCATTGGACCCAGCAATCCCATTACTGGGTATACATACCCAAAGGATTATAAATCATTCTACTATAAAAACACATGTACTGATATGTTTATTACAGCACTATGTACAATAGCAAAGACTTGGAACAAACCCAAATGCCCATCAATGATGAACTGGATTAAAAAAGTGTGGCACATACACACCATGGAATGCTATGCAGTCATAAAAAAGAATGAGTCCTTTGCAGGGACATGGATGAAGCTGGAAACCATCATTCTCAGCAAACTAACACAGGAACAGAAAACCAAACACTGGATGTTCTCACTCATAAGTGAGAGTTGAACAGTAAGAACACATAGACGGGGGAGGGGAACATACACACTGGGGCCTATCGGGGGATGGGGGACAAGGGGAGGGAGAGCATTGGGACAAATATCTAACACATGTGGGGCTTAAAACCTAGATGATGGGTTGATAGGTGCAGCAAACCACCATGGCACATGTATGATTACGTAACAAACCTGTACATTCTGTACATGTATCCCAGAACTTAAAATAAAAGTTTGAAAATAATAAAAATGAATAAAATGACATGAGGCAAAAAAAAAATTTGGTTTAACTGAGAGAGGCAAGAGAGAACTCTGTGCTATGAACTCTAACCCTGCCCTAAAAAAGTAATTTCTAGTCATTTAAAATAATTGTAAGTTATATGATCATAATTTTATAAAAATTACATATGATCGTAGTAAAACCCTAACATTAAACTGTGCATAGTGGAATTTCAGATGATTTCCACCTTGTTCTTCATATCCTTCTTTTTTGTCCCATTTGCAAGTGACATTTTTTGTTTATCCGCTGGAAGTCATTGCTTCCAGGTGTTCCTTTCTGCATCACCCCCTTTGTCTCCACTGCCCACCTCAGCCCTTCCTCTGGCCTAGGACTGTGGCTTCCTTGGCACTGAAGTCACAAGACTTGCATTCAGCCTCAGAAGACAGAATGCAGGGCAGGTGATGGGGTGGTCTCGGCATTGCAGAGGAACCTCACAGCTCAGGTCCTCTATCGCAGACGGCTGCCTTTATCTACCACATTAGCTACAACCAAGCCAACCTTGCCCCTTTCCTGATTGGTTTATTTCTCACTCTTTTCAACTCATACTTGAAAATTCACATTCTTCCACCTAACATTTCTTTCTACTTCTTATCTTCACAATATATCCCGATTTATTGTGCCCAGGAAACACTGGTCTCACCATGTCCTAAGTTACTGTCTAAAATGTAGTGAACAAATGGACAAGAAAGAGGCCCCTGACCTAGTTGCTGCCTCTCATTTATTCACTGGCAGGGTAAGTACAGCCTCAGCACTGACAATGGGCTGTGCTGTGGATGGTTCCCTGAAGAAATCAGACAAAATCCCTGCTCCAGTGGGGACAGCAGGTGAACAGAATGAGCAGGTGCATTGCATCAGACGTAGGAAGGTGACAGATGATTCAGGGGGCAGGGAACAAGGTTGGGGGGAGGAAAAGAAAGAGGGGAGCCCCCAGGTCCTCAGTAGCCTGAACAGGAAAGTCTATCAAGAAGGTGACATGTGAGTCCCGGCTTCATGGAGATGAGCATTCGCGCAGGAGGCAGAGCCTGTGACTATGGCCTGGAATGGTCCAGGGAAAATCCAGAAGGTGCCTCCGTAACATTTCCAAGACAACCCTAAAATAAAAGAAATACCCAAGAATGTATTGACTAAGTCATTAGGACTAAACAATAAATATTTATAACTTAGCAATTCAATCACAATTTAAGAAAATATTTCACATAAATTGAAAAAGTAGTATGCTTATTTATTCTTAAATAAGCACATATGTTTACTAATGGACATGTGTTCTACTGGGCACTGCACAACTTCTCAAATCTTGGAAGCAGATTGGACACAGCCACCATCATTTCCAATTTCATACTGATTTTTACAGGGGTTCATGGTTGTTTTTTAATCACAGCACCTGTCAAAAGCACAGATTGTAAAGGTATCATGTAATCTAAAGCAATGGTGCATAGACTAATGTTGAAACCATCAAATACTTTGGACCAGTACTTCCTGTGGTGTCCAGCAGATGGCACCACTAATCTTTCAACTATTTCAATAAGTCCAGAGAGGTTGCTTACGTTGAGTTTGCGCACTGAGCTCCTTGGCTCACAGCTTGTGACATAATGGTGGATGACGGGTCCATAAAGAGATTATTTTTTGGGGTTGGGGAAATTTCTCCCACCCTGCACATCAAGATGCCCTGAGGACAAAGAGCAGAGAGGTGCACCTGTGTATGTGTGTATGTTCATGACAGCAGCCACGCGAGTGTTCGTCTCTGTCCCTGGATTCTAAGTTCCTGGAGGACCAGACACATCCGTCACCCACCTGTAAACCAAGCATTTAGCACAGTGGCTTCCACACTCTTTTAGCCTCAGAGACAGAATCCCCTCTCCCTTGTAAAGCTACTGTGATACACCTAACCCAATTAAGAGGACTGCCTGTGTCTGAATTCCCACTGCCTGCAGGCCACATACCCTTCCTGAGTAGGAACCTGCTCTGAATCAGGCCGGAACCTGCTAAACCCTCTCAAGCTGAACAGACCCTGAGCCTTGGTATGGGCCCCTCCCTTTCCCTCTGGCCTCTGAAGGTGAGAATCCATCAGAACTCAGAGCAGAGCTGCCCAGGTCATTGCCAGCAAGTGACACAAGGTCTCATTCAGCCGTCTCATGTCAGCATGAGAAGGTCCTGGCAATGGGGAGGGGTAGGACTCTGGAAATTCTCCTTCCCTGTCCTCCCTCCTCACCCATCTGCCCCTTGCTCCCCTCCAAGTTCTGCCCACGGTACCTGTCACTTTAAAGGACTCTCCACAAATGCCAGGTAGGATGAAGCAGGGGAGAATGAGGAAAAGGCAGCAAAGCATGAGGGTGGTGGCCATGGCCCTGAGTTGGGCTGTGCCTGAGGACATGGTGGGCAGTGCTGAAACGGAAACACAAGAGTGATAACCCTTGTCCAGGCCCCAGACCTAAGGAGACACCTCCTCAGCTGCTGCCTCTCCAGGTCATTCTACAAGGCAAAGATTTTGTCTTCCCCACTCCCCTAGCTATGGGGCAGCCTCTGAAACAGGCCCCGGGGTAGGAAGGTAGAGGGGGTGCACACTGTCCTCAGGGAGCTCACACAGCTGCTGAGGGAAGCAAGGCAACAGCACAGCCCTGCCTCCTGCTGTGGAGGAAGAGGAGGTGACGCCCCAGGGCAGGGAAGGGGAGGGTCTCAGGGCTGGCATTGGAGGTGGTTTTGATAGATTTTCTGAAACAGACCATAGAAAGGAAGGGAAAAGTGATTCTCAAAAGAGGGTGAAAGGAGAAAGGTCCGAAAACACAGTGACACCCGGTTTCGGTTTCGAGGCTGGTGAGAAATCCACAGTGAGGGCAGCAGAAGCAAGCGCAGTGAGGAAGAGGAGTCAGGAGGGAGAAGGGAGAGGAGGCTGGGACAGCACAGGCGCCCCCAGGAGGAGCCCCCCACGAGGGGGTCATTTTAACATAAACGTGTACACTGGGATCATTGAAGCTGAACTCAAGAACTAATTTCTCGAGATCACCATTTCTGACCTAATTCGAGATCCCTGTTTCTTTTCTTCCGTTACCTCCTGCACTTGGCGCCAGGGTTCTGTCCATGCTCATCAGGAAGTCCTCAAGCCATCTTGTACAGTCACCCAGTGAGAAGTAATGGAAGAACATGGTCATATCCTTGTCATTCTCCCACTTTTCTTTCATCTTTCTGGCTCCAGGATGAACCGTTGTCCACATTCTGTTCTCCGAGTCAAAGAGCAGGAAGATCTGTCCATCGAAGCTGAACTGCCAAGATCCACTGCTGTGCCCTTCGGCTTTCTGCTCACAAGACATCCCGGCCTGCAGGGTGAGGGGTTCTGCCCCCACAGAGGAGAGATCAGCTCTTGACACATTTTGAGCCCCCATCCTGTTCCCCTTATAATTTCCAGGTCTTACTCTCTCTGCCACACCCTGGCCTTGCCTCTAGACCTCTGGTAGGGTGAGATGACCTTCCCATTTGTATTTTTCATGAAAACTGTAAATAACTCCAACCTGCCTCTGCATCTGCTCCCTCCTGTCCTGGACCATCTTAAACTTACCCCTGGGTGTGTAATTCTCCAGCTGAATGCCAAGCAGTTGCTCTGTGAGCATGTCCATCAGCTCTCTCAGGACTGGGTTCTGCTCTTTTCAACCTTTCGTGACATTTATTTTCTCCCCCAGGGGACTGGAGGGTGTGACTGTGTTGTTATAGTGAAAAAAAGTGTTTCTATCCACCTGGCCTTGAACCACACACCACCATGGTCCAGGTCTGAACTTAGGGATGATGGTCACATCATAGCAAAGAGAGTGAGGGTCTGTGGAGAAAGGCACATGAGGGTGGGATGGGGAGGAAAAGACCCCCAGATAGAGCTGTCCACACTGTGACAATAAGAGAACGCCTCTGGAGGGCTGAGCTGGCACAGCAAGGAGTGTCCCCTCCAGAACTATGGTGTCCACAAGTTTAAGAGTGCTCCCCCTTGCATGAGGACAAGGAGGAGGAGGAGGTCTCTGCCTGCTGAGAAACCACATGTCCCCAGACATGTCCCCCGACCCTCTGTCCACATCGTCAACATGTGATCTTGCTAGAGAGGTGCCAGGCCTGCTAGAGGAGGAAGGGCCTGGGTGGCAGAGGATCCTCAGCAGCAGCCCACGTGGACTGAGGGAGGTGGGAGGGAGTGGGGGCTGCCCTTGAGGATGCTGGTGCATGGTGTGATGGAGTGAGGATGGAACCCACTTGGATAAAGCAGAGTTAATTGTTATGGTCACAGGATTTAACATGTTGGCAAAGCCCCTGGTTATGGTGCCCTTCTGCTGTGAGGATGCCTTCCTGAAACCTTGGACAAAGGGATGGTCCACAGAGCAAGAAACAGAAAATCTGAAAATCTAAGGCAGGTAGTAGAGGGAGGGATCACAGGCTCAGAGACGTGCCCATGCCAGAGGGTTCTGAGTGTGAAAATGCAGAACAATGTCCACCCACTGTGCTCATGGGGAGCCTGGAGGACTCCTATTTACCCAGCATATACAGAAGGCCCCATGAGAAGGCACCAGAATGGGAGGAGGCTCAGGGATGCCTGTTGCTGAAGGCCAGGGTTGGGGGTAGGAGATGCTGTTCCTGAAATGGGCTCCCAGGAGTAATGGGATAAGAAATCCTGAAATCGCAGATTCCAAATGGAGGCTGTCAGCTGTCAGGAGCAAGGAGGGTACCATGATGGAGATGATTAGAGAAGTCCCAATGCCAGCTGGGGACCTCAGGCATACAAAGCTATGCCCATGGCTCATAGAACAAAGGGGTCCAATATCCAAAAGCGATGGAGACTCAACGCAGATACTGCTGGATGTAAATAATTACAACAACCAGAGATAAATGATGGATGACCAGGAGGCTGAAAGTAGCCAGTCCATCAAGAACAAGGCTGCTTTGCCCAATTTGCAGAATTAAGCCACTTCTCAGACCCTGAACCCATCACTAGAAGAAGACACCAGTTTCCAGTGAGGAAGGACCCTTTAACCCCACAGCAAGTGCAATGATTCTTTGTGGCCTTCTCCAAAGATATTTATGGCCACTGGCGTTTGCTGTGAAGGGCAATTTTGTAAATATGTGAAGGTGTGCAGGGAATATATTCTCCTCTGTAACTACTCAGCTCTGCTGTTGTAGCTCAAAAGCAGCCACAGACAATCCATGAATGGTGAGCGAGGCTGGACCTGCCTTCAGTGCCCAGTGACCCATGACCCCATAAGATCCTAGAGGTACGTGTGGTTACAATGTCTAACTGGAGAATCACAAACAGATTCCGTGTGAATGTTCAGAGGCAGGGCAATGCCACTCACAGCAGGGAAATGTCAGCATTAGAAAGCGGCTCCTGCAGAGTGCTGTGCCTTGGCAGAGATGGGGCCTTTAGCCATGGGAGGGCAGTGACCATGCCACCTCAGAGCTGCCCAACACAGGTGGGCTCCTCACCCTCTAGGTCATTAGGAAAACAGGCCCGGCAGTGAGAAGACACAGGTGGTTCTCCTGGGATGGGCAGGAGCAGGGCCACAGGGAACCAATCAGCTGCACAAGCAGTTGGCCTTGATGCCCAGAATGCCACATGGCTGCACCCCCTCACCCTTCAGGGAGGGTCTCTGTTGGCCCCGTGGATCATAGATGCCCCTGCCTCCGCTACGTGGTTAAGTGCGGTGGTCCTGCTCCTGCCAACACTCGGTTCCTTCCACGACAGTCTCATTTAATCATCACATTAATTTTCATTAAAGGTGAAGAAGCTTGCACAGGAATGTTCAGCGGGGGCGGCGGCATCTCCCTGTTCCCGCAGGGGCCGGTGACACTCTCCCTCCCTCAGCTTGCTCTGAGGGGTTCTTGACTGACCCTGCCCTGGGCTTTTCCCTGGGCCTGGTCGCGTCCCCTCCACTACTTCCCCAGTCCCCGGTGCACTTGGTTACAGTCCTAGCTAGGCTTTATTTTGTATTTATTTATTTAGAGACAGGAATTTTGTTCTTGTTTTCCAGGCTGGAGCGCAAAAGGCCCGATCTCCTCTCACTGCAACCTCCGCCTCCCTGGTTCAAGGATTATCTTGCCTCAATCTCCCAGGTAGCTAGGATTACAGATGCCCCCCACCAAACCCGGTTAATTGTATTTTTGGTAGCGATGGGGTGTCACCGTGTTTGCCAGGCTGGTCTCAAACTCCTGACCTCAGGTGATCCACCTGCCTTGGCCTCCCAAAGTGCTGGGATTACAGGCGTGATCCACCTCGCTAGGTCTGGGCTAGGTTTTATACAAAAACAGCAGGCAGGGTTTCAGAGGTTTAAATCAACATATCGTACACTGAACAACTGGTCAAGATGGTAAATTTTATGTTCTATGTTTTTACCAAAATTAAACAACTTTAAAAAATTATCTTAAAGATTGATGTCTTGCTCCTGCTCCGCCCAATGGAGATTGACCAAAAGACTGTGCTCATTAAAACCAGGCCAGCATTGAGGACCGCGTCCCTAAAATCTCAACCTGTGAGACACTTGCTTGTTTAGAAAGCTGCTCAGAGAGATCGGCGCTGAGCTCCCAGTTCAGCAGCCGCCCTCGCCCAGGTCCACGGATGGCGCAGGGGGCTCAACAGAGCACGTTCAAGTGAAAGTTCCTGGTGGTTCCCAACTGCCAGTGCATTCTGCTGGTTCGTTCCCCGTGGGCAAAGTGCCAGCCATCCTTCAAGCCTGGCACAAATACCCCTTTCATGTGTGTCCCTCATCTTCCCACAATACAGAGCACCCTCCTGCTCCCTGAGACCTGGATCCACAGTGAGGGCATCCGGATCTCCCTGTGTGACAGTTGCTCACACATTTCTTTGCCTCTCTGCTAGAAGCATGAGGTCTTTGAGAATATACTACATCCCTTCCTAACTATTTTTTGGGAAAGAAAAAGACCTAGTGAACTACTGTTGCTCTATCATGTAATCAATTGTGTTTCCACAGGGAGCAGGAGCCGAGGGAGGGGTCTACACCTGACTGAGGTTCCCACAACGTCTTTCTAAGGAAGAAGAACTTTGGTTTACAGCTGGTCTGGGCCCCACCAGGATAGAATCTTCTAGAAAACATCATTGAAGGACAGCGAGCTGCTTTCTTTAGCCCCTTTGACTGAACCCGGAGGATAAATGGTGAGTGGTTGGGGCAGGAAAACCTTGCCCTTTAAACTTTGTTTAAAGGAACGAGTCTGAAATCAGGAACCAAAACGGGAAACGGAAGGGTCAGGAGGAAAGGGAAGGAGGAAAGAAGGGGTGAGTGGCGGAGACAAAAAAAAGGAGTCAGAGAGATTCCGGATGGAGCTGGAGAAGGAGCAGGTGGGCTGGGCCTGGAAAGGCTCTGGCCCGCGGTTGGGATCCCGCGGAACTCCGCGCTGGGAAAGTCTGGGCGGCGCGGCCGAGACCCAGCCTCACCGCTCAGCTCCCTCCCGGTGCGTCCTCCTCCCAGCTCCAGGTCCCCAGTGGCATCTGCAGCGGTCACCGAGTTGGGTCCTCACCTCCCGCTTCCGCTGCTGCTGCTGGGCTGGTGCAGGGCAGGGCGGGGCGGTGAGTTTGCCAGATGGTCCCTAAGCTGAGGTCTGGAGGCGAACGTGGGGGGCTTGGACTGCAGGAAGGTTGGGAGGAGGGGAGGCTTCTGGAAGGACGGGGGCGATCCCAGTGGATTGCAGCTGCCCCTCAGTTCCCTCGCCGGCTTCTTCCCTCCTCCTCCAGGTCCCCGTGGCTGCTTCCCGTCTCCACACACCCCCTCCATCCCGCAGACTGGGACTTGGGCTGGAAGAGGGCGAAAAAGTAATGGCAAGAGGAGGGGACGAGTGAGAGGGCTGGAGAGGGCGAGTGGGGGCGGGCATCCCTGGTGAAGCGCCCCTTCTCCAGCCTCACCCGCCTTAGGGAACCGGGAACCCTGGGCTGCAGCACGGAGCTGTGGTCAGGACTGGCGGGGAGGAGGGAGGTGGGGAGGGACGAAACGTTTTCTAGCAGATTCTATCCTGCTGGGGCCCCAGATCAGCTGTAAACCGAGGTTACTCTTCCCTGGTCTTGTCTGGAGAGGGAAAGGGGGCACCTTGGGTGGCTGGGGGAGTGGGGAAGGGGATGATCCCGTGTGGACGCAACCCCAGACCCCTGCCACCAACAGCCAGGGGCCAGCTCTGCTCTCGCCCACTCTCCACCACACAAACCCTCCTGTTGAGAAACTTTGTTTGCCCTGCCCTCCTGGCTCCGTTGAGGAGAATACCATTTAGTTTGTGATTAGTGGTAGGTGGGTAACAGCTGCCTACTTGGAATGTTTATGAGTTATGAGTAAATACAGAACACCTGCTTATTAATAAGAATCACCTGTTTAAGAGAGACTAAATACATGATGAGAATCTGCTGGGGCCTTCAGCCTGGAATGCTGTCAGCCCCTGAGGCTCTCAGCTCACGAGGCTGCTGACCTGCCAGGTATGTCCACTTTGCTGTTCTACCTGGGTGTCTGCCTCTCATTGCCTTCAGCACCACCTGGGGGGATCTCCCCAGCCGAGCTCCTACTCTGTACCCTCCAGCACCCCCAGGGCTCCCTGCCCTTGAACATTCCCTTTCACTTTGCAGCAGACACTCACCTGCACCCAGGGTCTCAGCAGACACTTCTGAACCCTCCCCTCACCATTCACTGCCACCACCCACGTCACATCCTTTTACTCCCTCTCTACCCAGCCTTGTCACCCTTTATAACCCCATAGGCCCACCTCATCCCCTAATGCATTGAAGGAGCCCCTCAATGATGCCAGAGAATAGGGTCTGGATCAGGGAAACCAAGGCTGATTTGCTCTGAC